AAAAACTGAAGTGAAGTGACTCGAAACAAAACACTAGTATTAAATCATTGTCTCAACGTTCTGTATTCAAAATATAAACTCCCACAAACCCCACCCACAGTTGAATATGTTGAACCTTTTGTAAAGACAAATAAATACAAATAAGAATTTCAACTTCAAGTTCAAGAACCAGAGTAAAACAATATCCACCTGTTTACAATTTGAATTGATGCATTTTAAGAACATTTGTAGTGGTAATTCCTCTTATTAGCCAGCAGAGAGAGCTGTTGCTCAAATAATAATTCTTGTTCATTCTAATTATAGGAATTCAGTAAACACTGTGGGAAAAAAACATCAACATGCCATTCCTTTGCTGAATGAATGGAGAATCCTGAAAGCTTAATTTAGGGTTATTCACCCCTTAAATACAAATTTAAATTCTTATGAGAGCATTATACAACTAAAACTCACCTGTCACAACCCATCCATTCTGCTGGTTCCACTACATTGAATGTAATTTAAATTTCTAATTAATCCAACCAATAGCACAGTTACATTCACATTGCTGATGAGTCTACACCTTTACACACTTAACAAAGACTCATAATCAGCCGACTCAACATAATTGCTTGGTGCTTCTTCTCTCAAAAATGCAAAACAGAAATTTACTTTCTTCTGGCCATTAAATGACATATCTTTCTGGCTCTCTGTCTTCCAAACCCACATTTTAAAATAAAGTAAAATAACAAGATTTAGTATCATCCATTGGCTGTCTGAGCCTTTTGGTGTTCACAGCAGTTTGGCGTTTGATGCTATCTTACCACTTACCTCATTGTGGTTTGTTACATGCTATAAGGTAAAAGGGGCTGATTTTCTTATCAGTTATTATATATTTATTTATTTAAGTTTTCCTCTTTTAGTTATCCTCAAAAAATATATGTTATTCCACTAAGAGTAGGCTATCATATTAGCTTGTTTCAACTCATTACTGCAGCTGCTGCATAGGATGTTTGCACTGTAAAAAACATACAATTTAATACATTTAAACTCATGTATTTTAGAGCTGCAACATTCCTTAAAAATAGAAATATTTTACATGTTTTGTGCATCATTTTGTACACATATCCCCCAAACTGGTAGGGGTTTATACACTTTAATTAAAACAAAGTTCTGTGGGTTTAAACTATGTTTAGCATGACCTTATAATGACTAAACTTGTTGAGGGATTAATTCATTTTGAAACAAATCTACCCTAACTATTTTAATTTTAGTATTAATATGACTTTCATGTTCACCACAAATAGCTTTTTCAAGCGCCTCTCCTTTTCTAGTCTGCTGACTGTCATCACACCACATAATCTCTTTTCAGTCAGCTCTCCTCTTCCAGTCTGAGCGTCAGGCTATATATTTAGCCTTTATTTGTGCACAGCCAATTTTCCACCGGACCTCCGAGATTCCACCAGTTTATGGGATATTTTGACTCGACTGCACAGCCTGAGTAATTCAGTGAACTGGCCGTATCATAATGGAATCATTTCCTTAATATGAATCCAGGTAAATAGCTATGCTGTTCTTGTTATTGTAAAAGGCACTTTATTCATAATCAACCTCAGCTCCCAAAAGCTCATCCTTACAAGGGGAAATACATAGCTGAAAATAAAATGTTCTCATTTGACATTCTTTGGTTTAACTTGATTTATTTGATTAGAGTAAAGTATTTAGCATTCTCTGCGCATTTTATTAGCTCAAGGTTTGAGCTAAGATGTATTATTCTATTGACATTCCTCTAACTCTTAGCGTCAGTGTGACATAAAATAAGTCCATTATACTTCTATAAAGAGTGACCATTAAAGAAGTACTTCTTGGAGCAGTAATGTTGCTTTGATGAGAGTAATTAAAAATGTTTTACATATTAATCATTATAATCTCGGAGGTCACTGGAGGTCGCCTGAACTCAGTAATTCCAGGTTCCTGGCTAGGGTGCTGAATGCCACTATTTTAAATTAGTCTAAAAGCCCAGGACAGTTTATTATTGTAGGCCTACAAACATCTTATTTTGATACATATCAGACTTGACAAAGCTCCTCAAGAGGAACGGAAGACAGCTGTTTTTACAGGTTGAGTAGTACTCCCACTGACAAATAAACAGACCTTTATATGTAAAATTGACGAGAGTGCTTTTTAGTGTTCCAGTGTATGACATTTCTAAGGATCTATTGGCAGAAATAGAATATATTATTCATAGTTATGTTTTCATTAGTGTATAATCACCTGAAAATAAGAATCATGTTTTTGCTACTTTAGTATCAGACATTTTAATCTTCAGACGTAGCGGGTTGCCTTCCATGGATGCTGCTATGATGACGCGCCAGGTAGCGCAGAATGGACGAACCCAAAACTGGCTCTAGATAGGGCTGTTTACATTGTGCTTGGAAGTGGAGGGTGAAACGAGTGAGTTGCAATCTACAACTACACCACTAGATGCCACTAAAGCCTACATACTGATCTTTTAAATGATGACTCAAGATCTGTATTTTGGAAAATATTGTGGTAGATGAATGTTTTAGATGGGATAATGAGTTCAGTTCGGTTTAGGGGGTTAGTGATTTTTTGTTGTAGGGGGAAGTATTCTAAGAATCTGTTATTAAATCACACTGTTGGATCAAAGGACCATTGTGTTGTGGAAGATCTAAGGCCTTGGGACGGTTAGGAAGTAACCAGGTGATCTTGGATGGTATAAGATAGATCATTCTGGAAGTAGGGAGAGAACATTCATGCTGAGGTCTTCCCTCAATGCTGCATATAATAAAGCGCCTTGATTCATCACACGGCTTGTAATTTCTTCAGAGAACTAGCAACTCTCAATCTACAATATGAAGATAATTCAAAGTGATTAGAAACATTACCTAACCAACATTAGGGTAATTTATTTTTCTTTTCAAATTGATGCGTATGGTAATGGGAAACACCTCATTATATCATTATAAATGACAAATCAGTGTTAAGACTGTAGTGACATCCTCAGGCTGTCATGCCAGTCATTTATATCTAGCTGAGTGAATGACTGGGGAAACGCAGTTTAATATAGACACAAAGGAGCTCGGGGCAAACAATCCAAAATGAAGTGCAGATGTGCTGTTTGCCTCTGGCAATGGTATACTCCATAACATCACATCCACTGTCCGCCTTTCAAACTGTTGTCAACCATCAAAAGCCTTAATTGTCACAACAAGCCTTTATTAGGCTGCATCAGAGTCTCAGCTAATTGTTTGGGGATGTATAACTCATAGAGTCCTAAGGGTTCAGGGCATAGGCAGCAATTTCTGCTCCACTTCACTCCAGCCCAGCCTGAAATGTATGAAACTGTATTCATATTACATAACCTAACAGGCGCTCTCTCAGGGCATCTTCACTTCCATTACTGAAAACTATTTACAAGTAAGACAATTACATAGCACAGTTCCAGTGAATCTGCAGTAGTCTACTTTATCAAAAGAAAAATTATTTGATTGAATCATTACAAGAATGCTGCAATTATTTCATACAGTGCTTGCAGATAGGGGGATAAATAGCAAATGAATCACCTAAACAGATCCCATTAGTGCAATCTGCAGCTAATGTCAGATTGCCCAGTTTAACTGAATAGATATAATGCTTCATATACTGTCAAAACAGATCATTGTTGTTTACAAGCTTCCTTGAAAATAGAGACCCACAGCACAAAAAGCCAAAGAGCAAAACATATATAGTGTATCATTTTAATTCAAATCAATAAATTTCCTTTCACATGTGCATGTACAAATGTATATCAGTTACACAATGGTACATCATTTACAGAGACATTAGCTTCCTTTTCACAAAAAACAATTTCCTTTTGTTTGTAAGGCAACATGGGTGGTTCAACAAATAGTTTTCCATAAAATAAATACATCAAATTTATCAATGTACAGTAATAACAAATCTGATATCACACTGCGTTCAATACATTTCATCATGTACAATAAATGGTGTAGAAAATAAAATCAACAAGATTCGGGCTACAAAGTGCAGTGCCAACAATAGAAATATGTAGACAATAAAAAAGTCTGGATGCTGGTAAACATGGTTTGTCTCTTTGGTGAGTTTGAATAAATGATTTTGTTTTCTTATTTCTATATGAAAATATTTCACAACTATTAGGTAATGTTCTTTTTATGTTTACATAACACGATGAGGTCATGGAGGACGTGCAGTGTTACAGCTGCACAAGTTGTGATGCTGAAAACAAAATTCACATAAATGTAAAATATTTACATCAAAATCACTTTGGATGATCAGCGCTTAAGAAAGAAAGGTTTTAAATAGGGATGCTCGATATTGGCTTTTCTGCCGATATCCGATATTCCAA